TGTTCTGCTCCCCACTCTGTCTCTGGTGAATCCTCTCACCTTTCACATCTCTGGCCTGTACCCCAGTTCTGTATGAATAAATAAATAAATCTTTTAAAAAAAGGGGGGGTCTACTGACAATAATATGAGCACTGGAAGTGGGACTGATTGGAAGTTCATAGACAATAAACTGCTAGAAATCTTATTCCCCACCAGCCATGATCATTCTCCATGATCATGGATCACAGAACTTTCTCCTCCAACACAGAACACCAGCTGAATGGGTGGTAGCAGCACAGTGCATTCTGCCACAAAAACCTGCCAGCCTAGAAACCTCTTTGTCCTTTGGACCTGAGATTCCTCTCTCCCACCTAGTGTGGAGGGAGGGGTGAAGTGGCACTGACAAGCTTTAGAAGTCTCTTTCTCCCCCTAGGTCTAACGAACCTCTACATAGAGAGAAAACAGGTTCCAGATGAAACCATCTGGGGGGAGCCTGCCACAATAACAGAATTCCTTGGACATATTATTTTTGACCCTGTGATTTCACAACCCCTAAGCCCAGGTTATAAACTGGTAACGTTATAAACCAGTAACCCTCAAGCTGTTTCTTCACATCTCCTTCAATTCACCAGGTAGGGCACAAGCTTAAGTGAATTGTACCTGTATGTGAACATGTATGTATGATGGGTGAGGATATAATTGAGTAATTCCCCAAGCACAGAATCCATGGCATTAAATCTGCACAAGACCACTTCCTACTTACTACCCCTTTCCCACAAAGTAATCTTGTCCATGGGTGAAGCTCTCTACCTCCATTTCTTTTTCAGTAAACTTCTGGCTCTCTCATGTATATATACATCAAGATGGGAGGAAAGTATCTGTCAGTATCCACTCCCCACTCCTCATTCCTCCCAGCCCAGCTCTAAGGCTACTAGCCTGTACAATACTGAAAGAATGGCAAAGATTTTCCCAAGGCAATGAGGAAGTGGACAAAGCACAACAAAACACTAAAAGCACCTTCATGGCTTCCAGCAACTCTGCAGTTCTCTTGTGGCACCTAGGAGTCATCCATTGCTGCTGCCATTCCATCCCCACTTACACACACTCATCCTAGAACAAAGTGCCCCAATCTGTCTTCCAGAAAGTTTCTAATCAACTTTTCAATTAAATCCAACAACCTCCTGTCTTCCCACTGGTCTGTAGATTGGGTTTTGGGCAAGAAGCTAACCATTTATGTTAGGATGCTGTTATCTTTTTCTGCATAACAATATTGCAATATAGTGACTCAAAAGAGCACATACTTATTATCTAAGGTCTAGGCACAAATGAACTGGGACATCTGCAGTCAGAACTGGATTTTATGGGAAGACTGCTAGGAATAGTCCACTTCCAAGTACCTGAAAGTTGTTGACAGGATTTAGCTTGCCGCTCTCTCCTGGCCACCAGTTTCTTTTCATGTGGGCCTCTCACTGTTTGCTTCATTAAAGCCAGCAAGGAGGTGTCTCCTAACAAAACAAGCATTAGAATCTTATGTCACCTTTGTTGTAGACTGTTTAAAAAAAAGTCACAGGTCCTACTCACACTCAAAGGAGGTAATTACACAGCATGTGAATACTAGGAGGTTCCAATAATGGGAGCCAGATAAGGGGTAATTTCTTGTGGAAACTAAAAAATAATAATAATAATAAATCTTTCCCAGAAGTTTTTGAAAGCCACTAAAAGCGCCTCAGCAGTAAAGTAACTTTCTACTGTTGCTTAACTCTACCACTAGCCAGAAAACGTGGAGAATAAATTGGTGAGAGAGAAAATACGAGTTGGGGAAATCAGTTAAAAGGCTGTAAATGGTGGTGGCCAAAACTAAGGAAATTCTACTGGCAATAGCATAAGATGGACAGATCGGATTTGTTTTTTAAATATATTTGTTTTTATAAATAATCCACTTCCAAGTACCTGAGAGTTGTTGGCAGGATTTAGCTTGACACTCTCTCCTAGCCACCAGCTTCTTTTCATGTGGGCCTCTCACTGTTTGCTTCATTAAAGCCAGCAAGGAGGTGTCTCCTAACAAAACAAGCATCAGAATCTAGTGGGGTTTGTAGATAGTGAAAGAGGAAAGATGATGATGTTCTGGTTCTGGCATTTGTAAGCATACCGGTGAGCAATGATAACATTTCTGAGTTGATGTAGATGAAGAGATTAACCATAACCCCTTCCTTGAAAAACCTTTTGATAAACTAAGCTTTACCCTAAACAATCTGTTGCTTAAATTTGTTGAAACGGGATGCACAAACACCAGCTTTAGCATGCAACATCGTTCCTAAATTTACACCTCCCACAATGTTTGGAATAAGTGGAAAAGGCACATATTTACATGAGGGTAATTTGGTCTGACCACCTCCGCAGCCCTTAGCAGAGTGCTGTATTCTCCAAGCGTAGACAAAGCGTACCAACTGGTACAGATTCCCCGGAGCTAAGCTGCGCAGTCAGCGGAATCCCGCACAAATTCACAGACCGATAATCTCGCGAGAGCAAAGGACTCGCTGGTCCCTCGATTCTCCCAGGCACGCCACGTGGGAGCCCACCTGCAGAGAAACGGAGTCCCGCAGCTCTCGGGGGCTTCTGGGAGTCGTAGTTCCGGGCTGGGATGAGGCCCTCCAGCCTTGCCCCGCTCCGTCGTACGCATGCGCCACTCCAAGCTGTCCAGAGAAGTTCGTAGCCTTTGTCAGGCCGGGGGATGGAAGGTGAGTGGGTAGCTAGGACGCCGCTCCTCTCCGCTGACCTCAGTGCTGGCCCCCGGGGGGAGGGTCAATCGGTGCCGAGTCGGGGCTGAAGTGTTCGTTAAAGGGCCCTCAATCACCTACCATGAGTCCCAGCCCTTCGCGCTCGGGTCTGAATCTCTCCCGCTGCCGCCGCCTCCTTGGGGACGCGGGTGCGAGCGCGGGGCTCGCGGGTGCGCGACGGGCGGGGCGCGGGGCCGGCTCCCGGTTTCGAGCGCGGTGGATTTGTCTACGCACCTTGTGAGTCGGCGGCTGCCGCGCCGCCTTCTCCCGCAGCCACTCGGCCTCCCAGGGGACAGCTCCAAACGACCGGCACAGGCATCTGAGGACCCAGCCTCAGGGATGCTGACCCTGGTTTCCAGGTTACGGATTCGCGGGACCGGGCCTGGCTCCAGCGAGAGGAAGAAACCCGAGCTGACCTGACCGGCGCTTTTCGGCAGAGTCCCAGAAGGGAGACTGGAAGCTGGACCACGAGGCCGTAGGGGCTTCTCACAGTCTGCCCAGAGAGGGCTGAATCGGAGGAAGAGCAGAATCTTCAGAACCGGTGGGAGGTGGTGATCATGGCGACAGATTTGACCGAAATGTCCGAGGAAAGAGGTAAGAATTGCTTAAGTGCGGAACTTGTGGATGGGTGAAATTGTTGCTTCTGAAGGAAGATCAGCTGTTTCAGGGTAGGCGTCTCAGCAAGAGCGCTGTCTCCTTTGTCTGGGAAATGGATGGGCTCTCTAAGTGAGAGTGGAGAGCTGGTATGGGATTGTCCCTTTTTACTCTCCGACTTGGTGCACAATGGACCCTTTAAAGCTACTTCCCTTAACGAAATGTTAACTTCCACTCCATGAACATAGTTTCAGCTACTTTTTCTAACACGTTCTTCGTCCCAAATAACTGTATCACCCTGGCCGCCAACGATGGGCCTGAGAATTTATCTTTGAGTTAACGAAAATATTTTCCTACACCGATTATCCCACTGTCTGTACAATAACCCGGCGAATTTAATGGGACAGATATTTTCGTTTTACATAAGCGAAGTCAGTGACTGATTTCCAGTTCTACTTGAAGTGGGATCTTGTGACCTTCTACATCAGAGATGCTCCTTGGGTGTGATGCTCCTTACTTACTTGATGATAACACTTTGGAGGTGGGATCCAGCAATCTCTTTGTTAAGCTTGCAGGGTGATTTTTGAGAACCTGGTCCTGTTTTTTCTGATACTAATATAGATTACGGTTAAGCTTCAAAATAAACGTATTTTTGTTTCTAGGTCAGCGAATGCCATCTTCCAGAATGTTATGATTATAGAAATTGAATGAAGTTAAGCCCCGAGTAGAAACATTCCTGGACATTCTCCATGATCATGGAATTCTGGGTCATTTGAGTTTCCTGTTCTTGACAGGGTTTGTAGGAAGCATTATTAGTATAGTGGAGGGATTTTTAGACTTGTAAATCTGAGTCCAAAGATACATCTAGGCGACATGATTGTTGTTTTCTTGCCATAGTTCTGTCTTCTCCGGACTCTCCCTTTAACCAAGAGAAAAGCACAGAAGAGGGAGAAGTGGCAGCTCTGCGCCTCACAGCCAGGTCCCAGGTACGAGTGCAAGTGTCCAGTTCTTGAAAATATGCCATATTTCTCAGAATACGGATGGAATCTCATGTTTTTGATGTGGGCTTCCTTTGTCTTCTAAATACCGTCTAGAGAGCTCAGTTCTAATTCTAAGAAATTATTACTATGGAATAAGTAGAAAGTATTTTCATATCACATATGGTATATTCTTCATTGTGATATTTACTGCCACTCAATTAGAATGCAAGGGACATTGCACGTCTTTAGGCTATTACGCTCATTTCTGTGAATGGTAACTTAAACTTTTAAAAGGAAATGCGGTGCATACCTCTTAAAATGTGTGTTTTTGTAGGAGAAACATACCCTTGAGTATTGAGTAGTAATTTAAGACAGCACCGTAAGTACTGAATTGAATTATGAAAGTAATAAGTACCCACATAATCAAGGAATGCTAGAAAAGGAAAGCCTGTGCAATTTAAAGAGATAAATCCAGCCCTCCTAGATGATGAACGCTAAGGTACTTCAGAGGTGAACTGTTAACATGACTGCAACTTCCTAATCCTCCTTCTAAAGGCAAATATTAGGAACTGTTGAATTTAATTGGTGTTTCTACATGGATTATTAATCTTTTAGTCTTGTAACTTTTTACATGTTAATCATTTTTATTAAAATAAGTTTAATAAAAGATCTCTCATAATGTATGTGGCATATCACAACCCCACTTTCCTTAATTAGCCTTTCCTTTGGCTACCATAATCCACAATGCAAAAGTACATGCTACACATTGGTTCTGTATGTCAAAGTGCCTTCTCAGGAGCCTTATGTACTTGCTTATTTCCATTGGTTTCCCAACTGTCCTACATTAGTATTGGAGACCTTATTAAATAGTGAAGAAGTTTTAAGTTGTATCTGATAAAAACTCAGTCAACTCTAACTTATGCAGAAATAGATAACATAACTGCATTTGTTATTGCCTAACAACTGACAAATTCATGTCTAGCTAAAAATAGTTCAAGCTCTAATAATAGAACTGATTTTCTCCATTTCTCTGGCCTTTTTTCTCTTTATGGGTTTTCTCTCCCAAATAAGCCTCACTCCTAGTGCTGGCCTCTAGCAAAGTTAGGTGTATATCTTCCCATCTTTCCCAGAGGAAAAGGTCAGCTTCTCTTCTTGTCCTTTTACCTCAAGTACTAGGATTAACTAATGAGTGTTGGAACCATTCTTGGATTAGTTATTTGCCAGATCCAAGTAACTCTCAGATTGCTCCAACCCAGGGAAGACTTACACACACATACACACCCACACACATACACTCACACACCTTGCTCATGAGTCAGAAATGGAATTGGTGCTACCTGATCTACATGGACTAAAGTGACCAGTCATAGCAGTCAGAGGAAAATCAGAGTACAATCACTAGAAGTGTTATGCTCTATTTTCTTTCATTTCTTCCAAATAGTCCCCAGTTTTGCAATCTTTGTTTGGATGTCCTCTCTGTACATGGGAATTTAAGTCATTTTATTTCTTAAGAATGTGGCTTTTTTTAAAAAACAACCTTTTTATTAGGGAATTATGTCATTATTTGGATATTTCAAGTTTTCCCTGCAATGTGATTTTTATAATTCTGTTTAGTAGTTTGTCTCCTCTTATATTTTTTTTCTGCCTTTTATGTACTGTTTTGAACATGCAGATTCTAGGATCAAGGTTGTTTTTTCTTCAGAAGATCTCATCTACTTAGTGGCTACTTCGTGATTTTTATATTTTATTTTCCAAAGTTGGTTCTTAAATTTTTCTAGGTTACAAGTTATTTCTAATTTTGTAATCTTTACTTTGAAATAATTTTAGATTTAAAGAAATACTGCAAATACAATCGATATTTGAACAACATTGGTGATAGGCTGTTACATACAGACATACACTCACACTTAATTGCTGATAGCCTATAGTTGACCAAAGCAAGGCTTACTGATACATATTTTATATATATGTATTACATACTCTATCTTTACAATCAAACAGTTGAAAAGATCCATTTATAGTATTGTATTCTATTGATACCTTAAGTTTATATCACCTGTTTCTAAGGAAATCCACATTAGGTCCACTAATGTGGACCTATGCAATTTAAACCCATGTTTAAGGGTAGTAGAAAATTTTCTTGTATAATCTCTAAGATTCTCCAGTAATTAAATTTGAATTCACATTACTATTCTGTTTCTACAAAAACAGGAAATTAACAGTATACTATAACCTATTTAGTTACATTCCCCAGATTTCCTATTTTTCTTGTTTTTTTCCCTTTATTTTTATATCCTTTTATTCTCTCTGTGTTTCTTGGTTTATTATTGTTTCATTAACCTGACTGTATGCTTTGTTCACTTATTTACATTTACTTGATTACATTTATTTAACGAAATGGAAGTGTTTAAAGCTATGAAACTTCTTGCATACAATATTAGCCAGTTTGGCATTGGTTTTATTTAATTGTTCAGCTTTCAACTGTTGCCCTCTTTCTGGAATGTACTATTTTTGTAAATGCTTATGAATGTTTAAATTGGTCTTTAAACACTTGATATACATTTATTTCAGCAACCTTGGAATTTTATTCCTATTCTCTGACTTAGGGACATATTCAGTGTCTCCTTCCAGGTTTTGTATTTTTGTTTTATATAAACTGATTCTTATGGTGCTTAAACATACACATTTATAAGTTATACTTGTTCTGTTAAGTAATTTGTTGCCATCATTTTCTAGTGTAATGCTTTTTGCCTTGAATCAATTCCATGCTTAACTAAATTTGATGTTCATTACCAGTTATTTCATTCCATGAAATAACTTTTCCATTCACAAGTCTGTATTGCAGTTCATCTTCTGATTGGCTGTATTGAGTTAAGTTTTTATTGAGGACTTACAAGGAGAGTTAATGCAGACGTTCTACTCTCCCTTCCATGTCAAACTGTGTTATTGACTCATCAGTTCACATTTTGCTTCTTCAGTCACCAGAAAATTTATTATCAATGGAGAAACCATTTCCTTCAGTTCGTTCTCATATTGAATCTAGTATACTGTCCCTGGCACATAATTAATACCTGGTGACTTTACATGCAATATTCAGAATTTGAATACTATTAGGTTTCTTGTTATATACCACAGTCTTTTCCATTGTTGTATCTTACTTCTCTCCTCCAGAGCCAATAGAAACTAGGAGGGTGACAGGGAGGTTAATTAGTACAAGGTAGTGACCTAAAGAATGCTTTCTGTCTTAGGCATCAGTGACATTCAAGGATGTGGCTATGGACTTTACCCCAGAGGAGTGGGGAAAACTGGATCCTGCACAGAGAGACATGATGTTGGAGAACTATAGGAACCTCGTCTCATTTTGTAAGAATGGATTTTCGTTGTGACTATGAAATCTATTTATGAGGAGCATTAATACTTTAGCTGAAAGCTAAATAGCTTTATAAATTCTTCACTTTTGCATTCAGAAGTCAAAGTTAATCCCTTTGGACCCGAAGAAAATATATTTCTGCTTTAGGTTCTTGGTCACATATCTGCACCTGTTTTGTGCTTGAATTCTTTGGATTGAAGTAGCAAAAACCTAATTCATGCTAGCTGAAAATGAGGGAAACTTTAGATATACTTCTAGGAATTTCTTTTATTTGTTTAAGTCATATGACTTGGCTTTGCACTCATTTGACTTTATTCTTAAGATCTCCTGGGGCCTCCCTTGTAACCTAAAGGTTAAATTTCAGTACTATCACTGCCTACCCCTGTCACCTAAAGAGCCTTGAAAAACCTGATTTTTATGCATTGTTAAAGCTTTTTCTCATATTTACTATTCTTCCTCCTTTTTTGAAGAAACCTGATAGCTTCCTAGCACTTAAAGATTCCTGATACTTGAAGACCTAATATTTAAAGATAAGGTCAGAGCCTCCCTGGTGGCATGGGGGTTAGTCTCAGCCCTGTCACTGACACATCCTGAGGACAGCTCCCCGACCAGAGAGCTCACCTGCTGTGGCACAGCAGAACTCTCTTGTCTTGCTTGCTATGCCCCTCAGCAGTGTATATTAATAAATCCAACTGTTCTGCTCCCCACCTTGTCTCTGGTGAATCCTCTCACCCCCTACACCTCTGGCCTACACCCCAGTTCTTCTACATAAAAAAATAATTTGAAAAAAAAGATCTCCCCATGTAGCAAAAATGGCTTTTGGTTACTCTAAGATTACATCATTTTTCCTGTTATAGAGCAAATAAATATAGTGCTTCTGTTTTGGAAGTTTCATCAAATAGGGTCACATGTTCATCAGTAAAGCAATTACGAGGCAGCTCTCTGGCCAGCTTGGATCCTGTGAGTCTGTGTGCAAGCATCTGTGTGCAAGCATCTGTGCATGTGTGTATCTGTGCATGCATTGTATGCACTGTATGAGGGATGAAAGGAGCTGCTAGCCCCTCCCAAACATTTAAATATCATGTAACAAATCCCCAAAGAACATGGCTTCTAATATCTGAAGCAGGAAGGAGTAAAAATCACTAGAAGACAAAAACTCTTAAGACACAGTCACGGATTTGTGGTGCTGCCACAGAGGTCCCACCTTACCAGCTTCTTCCTAAGTTAAGCTAAGTTAAACACTCATCAGTATTACCCTCCCAGAACTCCTCCAATGAAAACAAGGAGAAATTCTCTTGTTTTTTTTTTAAATAACAAAAGCATTTGTCTGTCCTTACATTTTTCAGTCTTGCCACAAATATGTAGTTTCCTTTAGAGATCTGATTTTCCTATAATATCTTAGCTAGCTGCAGATCAAGGGGTTTGGACTATGCTGTGGAATAGATTTGTCACAAATAATAAATTTGCATTTCTTACATTTGTTCTTTAATGAGCAGGGCTTCCAGTTTCCAAACCTGATAGCTACAATTTGGAGAATGAAAAGGAAACACTGATGCTTGAGAGAAAAACTCCCAAAAGCAGCTATTCAGGTGAGTGAGAACTATTCAGATAAATGGGATTCTTCAGATAATTTCCCTGAAGGACAGTGAAGAGATGGCATCTTTCACTGCTTTAGAAAGAGTATTAAAGTACCTGTGTTCTTTTACTTTTATTTATTTAGTTATTTATTTATTGGCTGTTTAATACATATTTAAAAAAAAACTGTTCTGTAAATTTTCTCAACCTGAACACATTTTGTAGTTAGTACCCACATCAAGAATCAGTCTTACCAGAACTGCGAGCATTCTTGTGCCCTCTTTACACCACCTGCCATCTTCCAAGGGTGACCTTATTTTAGCACCACAAATTAGTGTCAACTATTCTTGAGTTTTATATAAACAGAATCATATTGTATGAACTCTCGTGTCTGCTTTTTTCACTGAACATTGCTGTGAGATAAATCCCTGTTATTGCATGTAATTGTAGTTCACTCATTTTCATTATTGTACAGTTTTTCATTATGTCAATATACCATTTTTTAAGCCCATTCTCCTGAGATAGGCACTTGGATAGTTTTCATTTTTGGCTAAATGAAAAATGCTGCTAGACTTATGGTGAACACATACATTTCTACTGGGTATATACATGCTAATAGAATTGTTGGGTCATGGGACCAGTAATGTTTATTTTTGGTAATTGCCAAACAGGTTCCCAGAGTTATTTTATCAGTCATACTAGCAGAGTATGTGTGTTCTAGTTGATCTGCATTCTTATCAACATTTAATATTGTCTGTTTTCCTCATTTTAACTATTATATCATTTACTTTTTAAGAAATAAAAAAAAAAATACATAGATTCACTTAGTCTTTCATTTTTTTTCTTCTACCAGTAACCAGTTGGTGTGAATCATGTACTATTTGTGTGTATGTACAATACACATATGTAACAAAAGCTAAACATAGAATAGTATGCTATACCTTTTTTGTAATTTTTTTTAAACTTTATTTTATTTTGATAGTAATCTATATTATTTCATGTAAATTGTGTTTATTCACTTTAACTACTATGAAGTGATTCCATTGTCTCCTTAGATAGTCTGAACACTTTATTTTTATTTCTTTGGCATTGGTTAGTGAATTGTAATGATCATCCTTTCATACACTCCTAGTACTCCTCTGATGAGCTAGTTTAGGGTATGTAACCAGAATGATAATTACTGGTTTTTAAAGCATCACATGTTTAGCCAATAATTGATGCTATTAGACTGTAGTTTTTGTCAATCTGATGGGTATAAAATGTTATTTCAGGTTTTGGGGTTTTTTTAAATTTATTTATTCATACAGGACTGGGGTACAGGCCAGAGATGCGGAGGGTGAGAGGATTCACCAGGGACAGAGCGGGGAGCAGAACAGGCAGATTTATGAAGTACACTGCTGAGGGGAGCAGCGGGCGGGTCAGAAGAGGTCTGCTGCACCATGTGGATCTCCTCCGGGGCAGACGGGAATCGAACTCATGCGGAAGTGGTTTAAGCTTCTCAGTGCTGTGCTTTAACCTGCTGTGCCACCAGGGAGGGCCTTATTTCAGGTTTTTTGACTTACACTTCTTTGGTTATAAGTGAGTTTGCGTATTCATGTGTGTATTAATTAATGAAACTGTCTTATCAATAATACAAGCCAGAATTCTATAAACAGTCTTTACCTGTCCCTCTCTCTCTCCCTTACTCGTTTCATTCCCTGTGTTCATATTCTAAATATTCATTGTTCACATCCCACCAGCTCCCTTTTATTCATGTGAATGGATGTGATAATCTCCCTGATTCCATCTTTGCCCTAGTATATTCTATTCTTTACATTGTAGTGAGAACATCTTCAAAATGCACTCTGGTGTTATCACCCTTTTATTTAAATACTTTCATATGGGGTTGTTTCTTCTCTACCCTGATCTGTTGTGATAATTATTACCCGGTGATATGTTTCTTCACCTGCACCCCTCTTCTGTATTTCTGATCATCATTTCCTATTTTGACTCTCCTGGATAGGGTATTCTTATTTCCTCTGCATATTCTGGGCATTTTTTCACCTCTACTTGCTTCTCTTTGAAATCATCTTGTAAGAATCAGATCTACTTAATCCTGGAAGCCATGCTTTTCAACATCATTAACTATTAGCTGTTACCATACTGCCTTTTGTTAAGTACAGAAAACAAAGGAAATTTGCATTTCCATTTCTTGCAGACTTGGAGACTAGACCTACAAGCAACAGCTCAACTACAATAGAAGATTTTTCCAATGAAGAATCATGCCAGGTTGCACTTGTAGGTGGACTGGCAAAGAACAATGTCTATGAATCCAACTTGGAAACAACTCTGGAATGTGAGAATTGGCTAGAGAATCAGCAAGAAAATCAAGAGGGACATTTAGAAATGTTCACCCAAGTGAAATCTCTCCCTGAAGAAACAGTTTGTGAGCATGATATATATTGGAAAAACTTTGGCCAAAACTCTGTCATCCTCACCCAGGATAGAGTTCCCAAAGGATCCTATGCCTTTCATGCACTTGAAAAAAGATCAAAACAAAAACCAAACTTATTGAAGAAGCAGAGAACCTATAAGGAGAAAAAACCTCATAAATGTAGTGATTGTGGTGAACTGTTTACTTACCATTCAGTGCTTATTCGACACCAGAGAGTCCATACAGGAGAGAAACCCTATAGCTGCAATGAATGTGGGAAATCTTTTAGCCATAGAGCTAATTTAACTAAACATCAGAGAACTCATACCAGAATTCTTTTTGAGTGCAGTGAATGCAAGAAAGCTTTTACAGAGAGTGCATCCCTTGCAATACATCAGAGAATTCACATTGGAGAGAGACCATATGAATGCAGTGAGTGTGGAAAAGGTTTTAATCGAAGTACACATCTTGTGCAGCATCAGCTGATTCATACTGGAGTAAAACCTTATGAATGTAATGAATGTGATAAAGCTTTCATTCATTCATCAGCACTCATTAAACATCAGAGAACTCATACTGGAGAGAAACCTTATAAATGTCAGGAATGTGGGAAATCCTTCAGCCATTGCTCATCTCTTACAAAACATCAGAGAGTCCATACTGGAGAAAAGCCATATGAATGTAGTGAGTGTGGAAAAACCTTTAGTCAGAGCACTCATCTTGTTCAGCATCAGAGAATTCATACTGGAGAGAAACCCTATGAGTGTAATGAATGTGGGAAAACTTTCAGCCGGAGCTCCAATTTTGCTAAACATCAAAGAATTCATATTGGGAAAAAACCATACAAATGTAGTGAATGTGGAAAAGCCTTCATTCATTCTTCAGCTCTTATTCAACACCAGAGGACTCATACTGGGGAGAAACCCTATAAATGTAATGAATGTGGAAAAAGCTTTAAATGCAGTTCATCCCTTATCAGACATCAGAGAATTCACACTGAAGACCAAACATGAAAAATTAGTGACTGTGACGAGATGTAAGTTGGTTTTTATCACTGTGTTAACTACTGGAGTATTTAAGTGGAAGACCCATAAAATGCTGCTTGAAGATCAATCTGTATGCATCTAATGTTACTTGCATAATAACAAGTATATGAGCCATAAACCACTGGTTTACTAATTATGAAAATTTCTAACCTTTTATCAACAATCTCAAATATGGGCCCCCAGCTTCCCCATATACCAGTTTGTAAAAATTCAAGAAATTATTGGGAGTGGGCTGACAATATAATCAATATGTTATTCTATTTTCCCCTCCCTTTGACACATCAATGCCCTGTTACCACTTCTCACTATGTAAAGAAGTTCATGTTTTGATTGGTAAGCAGAGAGTTCCTCTTTGAATCCAGAGGAGATATCCAGAAAGTCTTGTGTCTTTTACATTAGCTATAAACTCAAAGGCCAAGTTCAACTATATTGTGGATTTTTCCCTCCCCCAGAACATGAGTGTCTTAATGAACATAACTAGACTGCATTTACATGAGGTTCTAAATTAATGTTCATGTGAAAGTTGGTCATAAATTTTGGTAATTGTCATTCTTCCGCTATTTAGAAGTTTATCAATTTTCTACTTTGAGATTTATCCTAAAGTGGAGAGTGGGTCAAAACTTTAATTTTCATCAAATCCCTTCAGTTTTTTTCTTAATATTGAGTGAATCCTTGGTTGTCCATGTCCACAATAGCAGAGCCTTCTTCATTACATTATTCAGTTTTCTATAAACTATGTCACTTTTAAGAAGACATGGAGGATCTGAAAAGTTGATGGGTTCATGATGTTATACTCAGGGTCCCAGTCAAGAAGATCTGAAGCAACTGTGAGACAAAAGGACATGCCTTCTGTCAGATAAGGAAAACAGCTGATAGGTCAGTGATTCACTTGAGAATAAAGAGCCTCCGTCCGTGACAAAGATATCATTTTTCTGGCCTTTAAGTTTACCCACATTTTTTGTTGTTCTTTTCTGCCGTATATGTTGGTTGGCCTTTGTTATATCCTAAAGTCCTAAGGAAAATGAAGAGGCATGAAATCCAGTGACGTATTGATATAAGTTTACATAGTGACCAGAGACTAGTGGTGGCATTGGAAAAAACAAGCAAATACTCAAATAAATATTTAGCAAAACACAAATGTCAGTTTTTATCATTGTATATTGTGTGGAAAGATGATAGAATAGAGGAAAAAATAGTTACCAGGTTTTTTTTCTTTCTCCTCTCCATATCTTATCCCTTACGAACATCCAGCAGCCAGTCTATGTTTTTGGCCCCTCTACACTATCCTTTTTACCTCCTTAATTCTCTCTTTAGGCTTTAGTTCTATTACTGAGGAAAAGTAGAGGGGAAAAATTTAAGGAATTGGAAGTAGTGACAACAGGATCATAAAGGATGAATCAAGTTTAAATCCAGCAATAGTGGAAATGATAAGCAAACAATAGAAAAATGGAAGGGTTGGGAAGAGGTTTTAGAAAAGATTTAAAAATGCCATCAAAGGGATATAGGTATCTGGGAAGCCTCAAGGTTAGAGAGGTCAATTTAGGAGATTGGGTGGCACAAGAATAAAAATGGAAAAAGAACTGAACCCTTTTCACCACCTTAATATTCAATATTGTCTAAAGCAAAAATTGACAAACTCTCCTGGACCCACAGACCAAATCCAGCTTGCTGCCTTTTCTCCTGTGTTTTCTGGAACTCGGTCATATTCTATATATATATGTTGTCTTTGACTCTTTTTCTCCTACTCTACCAGATTTGTATAGTTGTAATAGAGACTGTATATCTTAAAAAGACCAAAATACTTGCTATCACTCAATATGCCAAATGCTTGAGTGAAAAAAATTATTTAGGTACCAAAATTGACTGACAAACATAAGCTTTCCAATGCTGTACTTGAATTCTACCACCCCACTTAGCAGTTAATTATGTGTTTGAGTAGCCTCCAAGCTTTGGGGGTTTTTCTCTGTATAATGGGAATAAATTTTCCCTGTCATAAGATTGCACTGAAGCGGCCTGGCCAGCTTAGCAGTGCCACCTGTGCTCCGTGACACAGGGGAGGGCCCCCAAGCATTTTCTTGAGTCATGCTAATCACTGGGCCATTTACTCTCTTGGACACAACAGGGAACATCACAGTGGAAAGAGTGAAGGATTTCTTAAGCTTCAAAGGAGTCTGAGAAGAATCTTAAAAATCCAGTAAAAGTTGAAACACCATCCTATTCCACCCTGAATGAGGAAGGCCAGAACTCCCTGACCACTACTTGCTCTCCTTGAAGCTGAGAACCTGAACCCCTGGTCCCTCCTATAGACCCATAACTGCTAACCTGGTTGTTTCAGTGGGACCTGCCCACCCTGTGTTCCAGGGCAGCCCCAGAATGTGGGCCTGTATTCACCCCAAAGGGCCTAAAGCAGTCTGGGCAATTGGCTATCCTGCAGGCTGGGTGCCACAGCTGGGGCCAGCGGCTGATCTGCATAGTCCTCCCTCTTCTTTGCAAATAATATATTTCTAACACCTGTGCTGGGCTGACTAGTCATTTCTAAAACAATTCTGGTACTGATTCTACCAGTTCCTCTAAGGAACTGTGTCTACCAGGGTGAGGTCACCCTGAGATAATACCTTGGGATTTTTTGTCATTTTGTTGAAAATTACTAGTTTTAATATTAAAAATACTGATTTTTAATATTGAAATAAAAACACTTAATATATTTTTTTAAATGTACTGCCTCACAGACCTCTCCTGACCCGCCTGCTGCTCCCCTCAGCAATGTACTTCGTCGTCAGCCTGCTCTGCTCCCCATTCTGTCTCTGGTGAATCCTCACCACCCCTGTGCCTCTGGCCTGTACCCCAGTTCTGTATGCATAAATAAATAAATCTTTAAAAAAAATTTATTGCCTCAGGTTAAGGTTCTCTCATTGACCAGGTATGGGTGTTCACTTAAAACCCTGCAGCTGGAGAGGGTGAAGTTCATCCCACTCACTTGGAAGAGGCTTCATTTCTTTCCATGTTTTAATTATTATAAAATACTATGAAATTTGCTTTGAAAGGAAAATGATACCAGTAAAAATACACATACCTTATAGACACATTTTACTGTAACATTCTTAATTGCAAAAGTAGTTTATATTATCCAGTGTAGAAAAATTGAGGCATTGAGAGTCAACACTTAATTCCCTGTAGGGTTGGATAAAATTTTGAATTGTTAAAATTCTATTTGTTTTTCTTTTTAGATATATATTTATTTATACCTACAGAACTTACAGGCCAGTGGTTCAGGGACAGTGAGATGCTTCACCAGAGACAGTGAAGAGCAGAACAGGCAGACTGAGGAAGTACACTGCTGAGGGGAGCAGGGGCAATTCAGGAGAGGTTTGCTGCCCATGTGGGTCAGCTCTGGGGCGGGGAGAGAATTGCTGAAGTGGCTTAGCTTCTTAGTGCTGCACCACTAGGGAGGGCCCTGTTTTTCTTTTCTAAAGATTTTGTTTTTATTTATTTATGCATACAATAACTGGGGTCCAGGCCAGAGAGTAGGGAGGTGAGAGGATTCACCAGAGATACAGTGGAGAGCAGAACTGGCAGGCAGATTGAAACACTGCTGAGGGGAGCAGTGGGTGAGACAGGAGAGGTCTGTGCCATGGGGGTCAGCTCCTTGGCTGGGGATCAAACTCTTGCCTCGGTGATTAGCAACAGCTTGATAGCACTGAGACTTTAACCCCTACACCAGCAGGGAGTTTCAAAAATTCAATTCAATGTTGAAAGTATATGTAACTAGCTCTTTGCCTTATTTTTAAGTTTTTGAATAGTTTTTTCTTGGTGTCCCCTTCAATTCAAAAGTAAGCTACAAAGATACTCTTTCAGAAAAGTCTAGATTCATTATAGTTTGTTACCTGACTTTGTTCCCTTTATGTAAGCACTGTACTATGTTAATTAACTCCTGGAGGCCAGGTTGTTGTTAGCAACTATAGGGTCATGTGATTCTCACCAGCTAGTAAGATCAGAGAACAAATATCTGTCCAGTGAATTTATAAGGAACCTAGGGTTTCATTTTCAACAGTATTCTGTTATAGGGCAACCCCAAGGTGAAATGGGTTGGTCTGACTGGGTCCTCTCCTCCTCACTTAAAACCTCAGGATGAAATGGATTGGCCTGACTGGGCCCTCAGCCACACACTTAAAAGGTGCTTATAATGAGACTCAACGGCAGGCACAGCACACACAAAAATGTTAATAAAAAGTTTATTTACAAAAGGGAAATGAAGAAAGGAATAACTCAGAAAGAGAAATGATGAATGCATCCTCTAGTTCCACTGAAGTGGAACCCCAATAGCACCCTGAGAGCCAGCAAAAAAACTACCCCCCAAGCCCACATGTCTGGTTAGGTATCTAACCTGGCTGCTTAACTCCCACTCAGTTTCCAGCAACACTCCCTTTTTGGTGATGACATTATGGGATTTGTAGTCCTTGGTGTCTTGTATCTCTGGTCTGAAGTGGGGGTGGGATTCATAAAGCTTATTTGTGGAGTTTGTTCAGGATATCCTTTCCCCCAACAATTTTTTTAAAGATTTATGTATGCATACAGAACTGGGGTACAGGCCAGAGGTGCAGGCAGTGAGAGGATTCACCAAAAACAGTGGGGAGCAGAACAGGCAGATGTACTGAAATACACTGCTGAGGGGAGCAGTGTGTGAGACAGAAGAGGTCTGCTGTGCCATGTGGGTCAGCTCCCTGGCCAGGGATCAAACTGTCCTGCTGCAGTGGCTGAGGCTAGCTTCCTAGTGTTGCACTTTAACCCACTGAGCCACCAGGAAGGGCCCTCCCCCAACAATTCTACCGATGTTTTTTTAATTGCTTTTGTCAAGGCTAGGAAGCTAAACTACAGATTCACCTCCATCTGGTTTCACTTGCAGTATTTAAAAGTATAAGTGAAGTCCTTTTTTGAGGTCTGCCAGATCTGTTAAAACTTGCATCCTGCCAGAAAATGACATTGTTTACAACTTGTAGGGCTAAGATTTTGAAAACCGTAGGACGAGTACCACACATATTACCTGGAAGGGCTTGTAGGCATTGGTTTCATGTATGAAATAAAACATTCTTCCTTAGCGATAGGTTTTTCACGCCTGATTAAGATTCTTGCGCTCCTCTCAGAACATGGTGAAATATGGAGGTTTTAATAAAACTCCTCTAAGTACAACTAAAAAAAGCTAAATTTTGCTCACAAGGAATTTCTACTAGTTCCTCGCTGGTGGTGGTGGACTGACTGGCGGGTAATTTACTGTATGTTGGTGGCTCACTGGTAGCAGAACAGGGAGAGAGGGTAGCAGCTGCACCCTGGCAGCCGCCATTCCAACACAGACTATGCAGTGTAGGTACCAGACGTGGGGGATCTGTTAAGGTGTACATGTACATGGGCACTAGGACTGTTGGTTCCGTTTCAGAGAATCTGGGTGCTGGCTATACCGGTGACAAAGACCCATCCCTCTCCCTACTGGGAGGTCAGAGAGACTCGCTGCACACTACAATGGGAGCGTGAAAGAGAGAGGTTCTGGAATTTGGACTCTGAAGTATGAACAGTGTTTGCCCTGAAGAGCAGGGGGAGGAGAGGCAATGTAAAATTCTCTACTCACGTAACACTGTCTACTGAAAAAAGGCACGCTGTGCCTGGCTTTGAGAGGCAACTGCTTCTCTCCAGTTCACACTCAATCTTCCCCCTCGCCCCACCTCACGCCTGCAGCTTCCAGCTTGTGTAGTCCGAATGATCAGGTCCCCTGGAGAGATCACAGTCTGCGGAGCACCCAGGTTGCTTGTGGCTGGCTCAGTGGCCAGGAGAAGCTGCATCTCCTTATGAAAGCAAGATCCTCCAGAATAACTGCTGAGGAAGGGTCACAGTGTTGCAGGAGATACCATCTACCAGCCCAAGAAGTACCAGCTGGGCCCATATTTGGTTTTGGCAGGTCCCTGGGCAGCCTGCACACTGCATGGGATGCAGCTACCCCAACGCAGTGCCCATAAGGAGGAAAATAAGCTAGGCGCTGAGGGCGCTGGGCACTGTAGTTCCGGCGTTCCGCTGCGCAGGCGCACTGGCGGGCCGGGCGGTCGGCCCAGCCGAACCCGCGCCATTGCTGGAAGCGTTCCCGCCCTGCTCTGCGAGTGCCCTCAGTTGGCCTCAGTTCGGACGCCAGGTACTCATTACCCGGGGCGCCAGGCCGGGGTTCCCTCCGCCCGTCCCTCGGCTCCAGCCTCCCTGAGGCGTCCGGGGCGTGGCCGTTCCCTCCGCGCCCCCGTCGCTGAGCTGACCCGCCCACCCGACTGGCGATTGGGCCGGGGCCTGCCGCCTCGGTGTCGGCGTTCCGCCCCGGCGGCTCTCGGAGGACTCGGCGCCGTCGCGGAGACCTCCCCGCCCCAGCCCTGGCGAGGGGTTCGCCTGGGGCGCTCGGGTCTCTCGCCTGCTGCCCGCCCCGCGGCTTGGGGGGAAGGAGCAGGGGAGCCCCCCCAGTGGACTGGGAAGCGCTGTTCGGGGAGGAGGTAGATTCTCCGTGCTGGCTTCAGAACCTGAGGCCGGCGAGGAACTGTTTGTGGCGACCAAGCCAGGTTTTCCTCGCCAGTTCACCTTAAGGCACTACAAGTAATCACCTGTAAATCACACTTCTGCGGACGCGACCGTGTACCGTTGCTCTCGTTGGCAAATAATGGCCTGGGCCATCGCGCTGAATTTTCTGTGAGGCGCCGGCACTTCATTATTTTAAAATAACTACTCCGGGCTCGGGACCACAGCAGGTGAAGTTTCTCTTTGACACCTTTACAGGGCTTGGGTGTCGTCACAAGTTCCAGAAAAAAGCACCTAGGGACATTATGGGGACAGAGGTAGGGGGAGGTTGACCGAGATGGCTTCTGCACAATGCCAAACGTCCAGTGTGCTAGTCTTACCTGGAAATAACTGGTTCTCCGTGCTCAAGGAACTTGCCAGGTATTCACATTTCCATGGCCAAAGATTAGAACGCAGGAACTCAGAATCTTATTGCTACACCAAACGCCTATGTATATGTAGCTCCATATAGTTGTCTACTTGGAAAATACAAAAAAGTAGAAGGAAGAGTACAACGTCATTGCCCCGGGTCTTGGAGCCTCAGTAGGGTTTTGGCTTACTCGGTTGCAGGGTTTTTCACTACTCTTTTTCTCACACAGTTGAGATCAAAGTGAATATATAGACTTAAGTAGCGTTCTTAATTCTGATTATAAACTAAAATATCTTTGTTTAGTAAGCATATTTAACTTGTAGTGTCTACATGGCAAATAGTCAAGGTGTTTATTAATCGTGACAAATTTTAAAGGAAATGATGATTTAGGTCATTTTTTTCCTAAGAAATGAATGCATAGTTTCAATGGAAATATAAATGCTATTAAATATAAGATGAAATAAATATACATTTTTTATTTTTTTCAAGTTGAGAGTCTCAATAATACCTTTATTTCCCATTAACTCAGGTCATTCTTTAAGTTTTAAAGAGGCAGCAAACCCAACTGATTCCTTAGAAGTGAAAATATCTCAGGTCATTCTTTGTAGATCTCTTTTGTAATTGAGGAAATTTTATTATTTTTTATTATTTCTTTCACTCCGTTTTTGTTAAAATTTGTTTATTTATGCATATTAGAACAGAGGTGTAAGCCCTAGGTGCAGGGGAGGGAGGAGTGAGTAGATTAACCAGAGACAAGAGTAGGAAGCAGAACATGCAGACTGACTGAAATACACTGCTGAGGGGAGCAGTAGGTGAGACAGGAGAGGTCTGCTGTGCCACGAGGGTCAGTCCCTGGCCAGTTGTGATAGGACTTGTGCTGCAGTGGCTGCCAATAACTTGATAGTGCTACCTTTACCCCCTGCACCACCAGGGAGGCCCATTCTTTCACTCCATTTTTATTTCCATCCTTGTAAAGCTGGACTTCTTAACTTGGGGATCAGTGTATAGAGGGGGAGGGTTGGTCTTCACACACCCAGAGATAAAATGCAACCTCACATGCGCATGTGCCTTATTCTGTGGCCATTCAGTTCTTTCCCCTCTCTTCAAACTTCCTTTTCCATTTGTAATTCTACTGCATCATCATCAGAGAATATAGTCTTTTCTTTTTCTTCTTTTTTGATTGAGACTTTCTTTGTGGTCATGATCTTTATGGTATATGACTAATTTTAACAAATGCTCCTTGAATATTTAAGTAACATTTGAATATTCAAGTTTAAGTGTATTCATATCTACTTAATTTCTCTAATGTTCTTCAAACTTATAACAGCCTTGCTCTACATAATATAATTCTTACTTTTTAGAAGGGAGTGGTTAATTACTGTATCTTTTCAGGGAGCTTCTGGTTGGTACAAGCTGTACGATTAGATTAAGTTGAACAAAAGCTACTCAATCTGCTGATGACACAAAGTAGAATTTCCACAAAACTTAGAATTTACTATTTCCCTTTATGTTTAAGTCTAATAGTATAGAGAAACTTATATTAACAGTCTATACCATTTGATATAAGGAAATAACCATAAATTAGGCACCACTGTTTCTTGAACAAACTCCACATCAACAAGGCTACATACTCATGAAAGGAGGCAGAGGAAAGGAAACAGGGCCCAGATGTCCGGACGACTTGGTAGTCATATATGTAAGCCATCGTGGCTCGTATACTTGTGGATTTTGATTGGCTTAGCATCAATTTGTAGATAGTGCTTTATTTTTTATTCATAGATATTATGAGATAGAAAAAATTTTAGTAATTTTCCTCACAGGAAAGAGAAGTATTCATAGAATATTGTTAAATGGGACCCTCCCTGGTGGTGCAACATGTTAGGACACAGCACTGCAAGCTAGTCTCAGCCACTTCAGTACTTCAGTGCCAGTTGGATCCCCAGTCCGGGAGGTGACCCACATGGCACAGCAGACCTCTCCTGTCTCCTCCACTGCTCCCCTCAGCAGTGTACTTCGTCAGTCAGCCTGATCTGCTTCCCACTCTGTCTCTGGTGAATCTTCTCACTGCCTGCACCTCTGGCCTGTACCCCAGTTCTGTATGTATAAATAAATAAATCTTTTTTAAAAAAGAATATTGTTAAATGAGTAGATCAATTGTGGCAAAGAAAGATTAAGTTATTTTCTTTTACATCACATAAAACTGATCTAGTGGACAAGTTGGGGCATTAGAATTAGACTAATAGGAAGTCAGACATAGCTTTGAGTAAGTAGTTCCATTTTCCCTATACTAAATGGGAACATTAATTCCCACTATGTTGGTGTGAAGATCATATGAGAAAGAATCTGAAAAGATTCTTGTACATGTCTTGCCTGCTAACTGTGACCTTACTTAATGGTATTAGAATTTCAAGATCTCCTGGAATAGAATATTCCTCCCTTGCTGAACTTGGACATTAATTTTCTGTTCTTTAGGAGAGTTGTGCTCACTGGTATGTCAGGATTCCATCTTGGCAAAGACTGAGATTTCTAAGGCAAGACTGGTCTTCATGGCTAAATATTTCTCTTCCTCAGATATGTCTTTGCAGGATTCCACTTTTCCCCCAAAGGGGAACACAGAAATTATGACTGCTATGGTTTATTCCATTGGAACTCTGGTAAGTTGGGGTTTCTTCTGTTTTTGTATTGCCACATTAGTCTGAGAACATGTCTACTTTTCCTGAAGGCTTGTGATTTATTACCTTATCACAGCCCCCTGATAAGTGAATCAAATTGTTTGATTCATAAAAACTATGTTCATCATAGTAAAAAAAATCGTGATATATAGGCAGACCCTGTATACATATTGAACCAAACTTCAAGGCACGTAAATGTTCAGTAAATATCTGGGTTGTCTTTAATATGATAAGAAGTAAGGGAAATTTACTTTTGATGTTAAATTTGGGGAAATTTACTTTTGATTTTAAATTTGTATTGTTCCCAGAAATTTCAGTTACATATAGGGTAAAAGAATGAAATTTTTTCAATTGAGAAATTTTATTTAGAAAAATTTTAGAGAAAATATATGCGTTTATGCACAAACAATAGGGACTCTTCTTGTGCACCTCTCAGTAATCTGTTTTCTACCCATTAAGAAGTAATCAAGTTCAATAGATGATAGGGAGAAAGAAAATGTCTTAAGACACAGTGCTTGGCTATAGGGAGTTTGCTGTCTCATTCAGGTAAAGTATACAAATGAAATAGTTACATAATTTACTCAAGTGAAAAGTATACAAATGAAATAGTTACATAATTTACTCAAGTGAATGATTATTTCTTAGCAGTAGATATGAGTGCTATGAAGGGAAGAAATAGGACACTAATATGGGCTAAATTAGTTATGGAAAGCTCACGAGAATAGATTTAATCAGTGCCCAAGTCCAAGTGATTTATATTTATAAAGTCACTTCAGGTGAGAAAGTGGTTTAAGAGCAAGGCTTTAAGGAAGAGCACAGAGGGTAAACTAGCAATTCAGGCTAAAAGTTATGAAAGGACTGGATCTGGAAATTAGATATTTAAGCTGAATCTTTTAATGTTTTCCTGATGACACTTGGCTGTGTATATGTGTGAGTATGTGTTTGAGATTGGTATTCTGATAAAAGATTTGCTTCAGCAGTGACTTTTTAAATAGGAATTTTGGAAGTAATACTACCAAGTACAATTTGTTGTAGTAATGATAATAATGAGTGGTTATAACTTATAGTGATCAGAATATGTAGCACGTAATTAATGCCTAAAAAAAAAGTCCATAAATATCAAAATGTTGCACACTCTCAATAGAGCCAAAATATTTGTCTAATATTGGTCTAATCATAGCCATCCCTAATTATCAGAAGTTGAGAGTCACATCATAGTTAATTTTCAGGAAGTTGAATGTTTGTATTTTTACTTTAGAATAAGAACTTGAGAGGGGGGAGAATTTCCTTAAAATTTAAGATAATTTCTCAATGAAATTTAAATAAACATTATCATTTTTCAATTGTAAACGGTCTATATTTTCCAACTGTAAAAATGGATGATTTCTGAGAAACAGATTTCACTCCCATATGAAAAAGAAATATGTAGTATACAAAAAGACCTCTTTGTAAGTTTATTCTTATTTTGACAGGTTCTTTATTAAAACCCTCCTCCATTAAACATAATGCAATTATATCTTTCTCATGCTTGTGTGTGTTTGTGTGTCTCAAATAAGGTGAAAGAAGATTATGGTTGGATGTTACTATGATACCTAAATTTCAGCCATTAGTAAAAAGTAAAAGAGGTCAACTCATACACACCAAATGCACAGTGGACTAGTGGTGCTTGCTGAGACTCTTGTCAGTAGAGGCAGCCTATCTCTGAGCAGTCATCCTTTATCTCCTCAGAGTCCTGAGGTTTCCCAGCCAGATGAAGATATTCACCTTCAGGGAGAAGAACCAGAATTGGCAAAGGTAGTACCTAGAATTACATGTAAGGAAAGAAAGAGAAAGCCCCTCTTTTAGTGCCACTAATTCTTAATGTTCCTGGTTCATTGCAAGTTCACAATTAATACCCTCTCTGCTTAATAGATGTGGTAAGCTCACTCACACATTTCAATTCTTTCAGTTCTTACTGGGAAAAGTAAACAAAACCTTGTAAGTTCATTATAATTTGTGTAACATGTGAAGTGATTAATAATAAATTTTATGAAATGTCATTATCTCCCACATTTGCCATATTTCATTATTAGCAGAATTATACAAAACATGCCTAACAAACTTTGAGGTCCAAATAAGAGATTTAAGCAATTTAACAAGTATTTAGCAGTATTTAGCAATTTAACAAGTAGAGACAGTGGTTTGATGAATCCTCTTGAATCTATTGTCCATCCTCAACCATTCAGAAACTCCTCCCAGAGGAAATCTATTTCTTCTGAGAGGGAACAAACCTTAACCAAAACTGCTCTAACTTGAGACATTTGCTTAATTAGTCAGCTAATCAGGCTGTACTATATATTTAGTGTACTATATCATGGAGTAGGATGAATTTTGAGTTTGAACTCTGAAGTAAATTATCTGAAGTTGAACCTGGACTTTGCCACTTCTGTGAAAACTTGGGCATCTAAGCTCTCCTTGTGTCACTTTGTTATAGATTAGCAACCTCCTTACTGTGATAATTCAATCAGTTATTGTATAAAAGCCCTTTAGAGCAATACCTGTCAAATAATATGCACTATATTTAGAAGTAGAGACAGTGGTTTGATGAATCCTCTTGAATCTATTGTCCATCCTCAACCATTCACTTATTTTGAAGAAATAACATTATATAATTTCATCTACAAATATTTCATGATATATCTATAACAGATTTTTTAAATGTTAAATACATTATAATGACTACAGCAAAAAAAAAAAAATTAGCTTTAATGTTACCAAGTATCAAGTGAGTGTTTCCCCAGGTGATTTATATATTATGATTAGTTCATTGTACCTCTTAGGTTTTAATCTAATCATTCCCTATTATCCCCCTTGAAAATACCAGACCATTTATACTTTAGAATATCTTCCAGTTTAGTAGCCATATGTGGCTGTTGAGCATCTAAAATGTGGCGGTCCAAATTTAGATACAAATTAATAAGTGTAAATATAAAATATATACTTATCTCAAAGATTTCTATAAAAAACGTGAAGTATCATTAATTTTATATTATATGTTGAAGTTATATTATTTTGTATATATTAGGCTAAATCAAATAAATTAATTACACAAGTTTTTTTTTTTAAGATTTATTTATTTATGCATACAAGATCTGGGGTGTAAACCAGAGGTGGAGGTGAGATGGGGGATGGGGTGAGAGGATTCACCAGGGACAGAGTGGGGAGCAGAACAGGAAGATCTACAGAAACACACTTCTAAGGTGAGCAGCAGGAAGACAGGAGAGGTTTGCTGGGCCATGTGGGTCAGCTTCCCTGGCCTGGGATGGAACTCCTGCTTGCACTGCTTGCAGTAACCAACAATAGCTGCTGTCTCTAACCCTGCAGCACCAGGGGGACCCCACAAGGTTTTTTTTAATGTGGCTTCTGTATAATGTAAAATTATACATGTGACTTGCATTCTATTTCTGGACATGTTTTATTTTTACACAATATGGATTTTCTTGATTATATCCCCATGGGGTTATTTAACATGTTTTTCTGTCCCCTCTATTTCCTTTGTATAGTTAGTTTGATCAGATTCAGATCTGCTTTTTTTTTAAAGATTTATTTATTTATGCACACAGAACTGAGGTACAGGCCAGAGGTGCAGGGGCGTGAGAGGATTCACCACAGACAGAGGGGGAGCAGAACAGGCCGACTGATGAAATACACTGCTGAGGGGAGCAGTGGGCAGGTCAGGAGAGGTCTGCTGTGCCATGTGGATCACTGCCTGGGTGGGGAACTCATGCTGAAGTGGCTTTATCTTCTTAGTGCTGTGCTTTAACCCACTGTGCCACAAGGGAGGGCCCCAGATTTCCTTTTCTAAAAATATTTTTTGTGGGCCTCCCTGGTGGCACGGGGGTTAAAGTCTCAACACATTGAGCAGCATCAGTTCAATCCCCTAAAAAGGAAGCTAACCCACATGGTGCAGCAGACCTCTCCTGTATCACCTACTGCTCCCCTCAACAATGTATTTCAGTAGGTCTGCCTGTCTGCTCCCCACTCTGTCTCGGGTGCATTTTCTCACCCCCATACCTCTGGCATATACCCCAGTTCTTCACATAAATAAATAAAAATAAATCTTTAAAAAAAATTGTGATTTTAAGTTCATGTCACTGGAGAGATTTCTACAGCCTTTTAAGGGTTGAACTGCTTGAGTTCCATAGGCAATTGATGATTTGAACTTCTGGAGTTCTTTCCAGATTCTATATGTCTTATTTTGCCTAACAGCTCTCCAGACCTTGAGTGATTACAGTCTTTATTTTAGGAATCAGTGACATTTAAAGATGTGGCTATAGACTTCACGCTGGAAGAGTGGCGGTTGATGGACCCCATACAGAGGAATCTGCACAAAGATGTGATGCTAGAGAATTATAGAAACCTTGTTTCCCTGGGTAAGAATAACTTCTGTGTTCATATCTGCCCTTTTGACCAGTTTTGCTGAAGATACTGTATCTCTAAAGCAGTTAATTGAAATTCAGATTAGAATTTAAACATTATACTTCATAGTCTTAAGAGCATATTTTTGGGAGTTATGCTGTTCTTTGCTCTTAACTAAATAATCTGCCCATTGTAGAGTAAGAAATAGGTATTTCATTGGAATTTCAGACATTGTTGACAATCCCCAAATTTGGGGCTAAATATCTTCATTCTCACATAAACAGGAATCACCAATGTCTGTAGAAAGGAACGGATGTGTTCCTATTCTTTCTGGTTTATTAAACTCATATTATTTCCATGGTCTATATTACTCCAACAAACCTGAGGTCAGTATTGAGCTTCTCTAGGTTACCTTTGCAATTCTCTGTAATGCCACTGTACAATAGGATGTTTTGCTGTGATGGAAATGTTCTATATTTGTCTTGTCCAGTATGGCAGGCGCTAGGGCACTTGAAATCTAGCTAGTCATTAAATTCATATTTAATAACTATAAGTGGCTGGCAGTTATCCTTATCGAACAGCACATCTCTAGAACATAATAACTACTCTGCATAGGAAATTAACACCTGAAACTGAATTTGGACATAATTATTGTTCATAGGCACCTTCAAATCCTATTCATTTCTCTCTGAACAGGCCTTGCAGTTTCTAAACCAGATATGATTTCTCATTTGGAGAATGGAAAAGGACCATGGGTTATAGTGCAAGAAATTTCAAGAACCCCCTATCCAAGTGAGTTAATAAGTGATGGATTTTATTTTGCATTACATTATATAGAGAGAGAAAAAATTTTTTTTTTTTAACTTTCCCAGTATGGCTATAGATTTGTCTGTTTCTTATTTTAGTTCCTTTCATTTTTGGCTTATGTATATTGCAACTGTTAAACATCAGTATAAAACTAGAGGTGTTATATCTTTCTGGTAAATTGAACCTTTAATCATTATGAAATGTCTTCTTTTCGGTTATTATTTATGTGATATTCACAGTCATCTTTACAGAGCCTTATATTTTATATTTCTCTTTCAAGTAGCATATTATTAGATTTTGTTTTAATTCATCTGACAGTCTTTATCTTTTGGAGTATTTAATATACATACAGTATCATTTCATAATGATAAATATGCTATTCTGAGTGTATCTTGCCAGTTCTATATTATTTTTTTTGCTATTCATGCTATCCTTTAAATTTACCATCTTTATTTTTCTATTTCCCTAATTTCTTGATAATTAAACATTTTTTAATTATTTCTATCCCGGTTAGCATTAAGATTAATGCATGCATCCTGGATCTAGCAGTTACCCCTCCTTCAAAAAGATACAAAGATTTTAAACGGGGCCCTCCCTGGTGGCTCAGCGGGTTAAAGCACAGCACTGAGAATCTAAAGCCGCATCCTCATGAGTTCAATTCCCACCTGCCCCAGAGGTGACCACATGGCGTGGCAGACCTCTCCTGACCCGCCCGCTGCTCCCCTCAGCAGTGTATTTCGTTGATCTGCCTGTTCTGCACTCCATTCTGTCTCTGGTGAATTCTCTCACCCTCCACACCTCTGGCCTGTATCCCAGTTCTGTATGCACAAATAAAATAAAATCTTTAAAAAAAAAAAAAAGATACAAAGATCTTAAAACAGTTTGTTCTATATAATCACATTTGTTCTTGAAATTATGGGCTTTAATTCTACATGTCAGTATCATAAGACATCATTGTGAGTGTAATATGCAGTCAGTATTAACTTAGGTCTACCTGATTTTTTTTTTAATCTTCCCTTCATTGCTTTTTTACCTTCAGGCCCATAATTATTTAACCGGCTCTCCATCTATTTTTTAATTAAGTACCATTATTTTACATTCTTGTTAATTTTTTGACAGTACAGAATTTTCCCCTCAGGTGTGTTCACAGTAGCTCTTCCACTACCAAAACATCCATAATCCACTAGGCTCTCCTGTCTCCCTCACCCTCTTCACCTTTCTCCTCCCTCTATTCATGGCTGTCTCAGATCTATGATCAGCTTCAAATGTCCCCTTCCATAAAGGTTCTATAAGGGAACCTACAACTCTGACATGGAAATTTGAAAAATCCCTCACACACACAAAAGGCTGTTCAACAAAAAAAAATGAGAAAAATATAGAGACAATATGGTTAGAGACAAATATCTGATTTGTGAAGCAAATTGTAAGCAAGAAAGTAGTCACAGCTTCTGAACAATACTTTTTTAAGTAGATGACTCCAAAAGGAATGAGAAAGGAAATATTGGAGAGACTTAGATTCTAGAGGAGCTATGGAAAAATTCCTTCAGTTTACTACTTTGGTTTTTTGCTGAAATAGTATTATCTTACCCTTACTGCCTTCTTGGAAAACAAGACCAATTTTCAAACAATTAAAAACCATTATCAGTCCAGTTCCCTTTTTTTAGTGAGATTTCCCCAACTTGGGAAATAAAGTATTTGATTTTCTCCTTTTCCTCACCAGAGTTGGACACTAAACCTGCCACCAAGAATGCTGTACCAGCAGAGGTTATTTCTACAGAAAATTTACCACAGAAACCTGTAATTGAGAAACTAACAGAAAATGGCCTATGGGATTCCAGAATGGGAGGATTGTGGAAATGGAATAACAGAATAGTAAAACTGCAAAATAGTCAGGAGAGTCAATTGACTCAGAAAATAATAACACAAAAGGAAATTCCCACTGGCCAAAGAGGCCTTAGATTTGGATCTATTCTTTTCCCAGAACCAGGAGTTATCACAGAAGAGATTCATAGTATATGTCAAACATATGAGGAAAAATGCACAGAGAATTTAGATTTTATTACAAAGATCCATTTGGGGAAGAAAACTTACACAGATAAAGATGGCAGCAAAACCACAAAGCCTACTTCAGAACTTATCTTAGGGGAGAAAAACAGTAATAAAGATAAACCCTTTAAATGTAGCACATGTGAAAAGACCTTTCGTTATAGATCATTACTCATTCAGCATCAGAGAACTCATACTAAAGAAAAACCTTATGCATGTAGTGAATGTGGGAAAATGTTCAGCCAGCCTTCATATCTTAGTCAACATAAAAAAATTCATACTGGAGAAAAACCCTACAAATGTAATGAATGTGGAAAGGCCTTCATTGCTTCTTCATCACTTATGGTACATCAGAGAATTCATACTAAGGAGAAACCTTATCAATGCAATGTCTGTGGAAAATCTTTTAGCCAATGTGCCCGCCTTAATCAGCACCAGAGAATTCAAACTGGAGAGAAGCCCTACAAATGTAGTGAATGTGGAAAAGCTTTTAGTGATAAATCAAAACTTGCAAGACATCAGGAAACTCACAATGGAGAGAAGCCCTATAAATGTAATGATTGTGGGAAAGCCTTTAGGAATAAATCATATCTTAGTGTACATCAGAAAACCCATACTGAAGAGAAACCATATACATGTAATGAATGTGGAAAATCCTTCAAGAATACCACAATTTTTAACGTTCATCAGAGAATTCATACTGGAGAGAGACCCTTTAGATGTAATGAATGTGGAAAAGCATATAGAAGTAACTCAAGCCTTATTGTTCATATAAGAACTCATACTGGGGAAAAACCCTATTCATGCAGTGAATGTGGGAAAGCATTCAATCGCATAGCAAATTTCACAGAACATCAGAGGATTCATACGGGAGAAAAACCTTATAAATGTAATGAATGTGGGAAAGCCTTTATTAATTATTCATGCCTTGCTGTACACCACAGAATGCATACAGGAGAGAAACCTTATAAATGTAATGAATGTGGAAAGGCCTTTATGCGTTCTTCATCTCTAATTATACATCAGCGAATTCATACTGAAGAGAAACCTTACCTGTGTAATGAATGTGGAGAATCTTTCAGAATAAAATCACACTTAACTGTACATCAAAGAATTCATACTGGGGAGAAACCATATAAATGTACTGACTGTGAAAGGGCCTTTACCAAAATGGTAAACCTCAAGGAACATCAGAAAATTCATACTGGAGTGAAACCCTATAAATGCTTTGATTGTGGAAAATCCTTCAGGACTAAGTCATACCTTATTGTACACCAAAGGACACATACTGGAGAAAAACCCTATAAATGTAATGAATGTGAGAAAGCTTTCACAAATACATCGCAGCTTACTGTGCATCAAAGAAGGCATACCGGAGAAAAACCCTATAAGTGTAATGAATGTGGAAAAGTTTTCACAAGTAACTCAGGCTTTAATACTCATCAGAGAACACACACTGGAGAGAAACCATTTAAATGTAATGACTGTGGGAAAGCATTTAGCCAGATGGTACATGTCACAGAACATCAAAAAATTCATAGTGGAGAGAAACCATACAAATGTGATGTCTGTGGAAAAGCCTTTAGGAGGGGGTCATATCTTACAGTACATTGGAGAACACATACTGGTGAAAAACCCTATACATGTAAAGAATGCGGGAAAGGTTGTATTACTCTATCACAATTAACTCTACACCAGAGAATTCATACTGGGGAGAGGCCCTATAAGTGTGAAGAATGCGGAAAGGCTTTTAGGACTAATTCAGACTTCACTGTACATCTGAGGGTGCATACTGGAGAAAAACCATATAAATGTAGTGAATGTGGAAAAGCCTTTCGAAGTAGCTCAAGTCTTATCGTACATCAAAGAATACATCAGAGAGAAGTCAGCTAACATAAAAAGCAATAAATCATCTAGATGTTAAGCCCACAAGAAGATTTTATGAGCTGTATGTGTTATAGGGAACCATTCAGGAACCATTTGCCAAGAAATATATACTGAAGGGACACACTGTGAACATATTAATGTAGAAGAGCATTTAACTATATTAAAAATTATAAGAAGTTTCCCAAGGAAAAACATTAAACAAACAAAAGCTTTCCTTCAGATTTCATAGTGTTTTCATATAGCAGCTATTTTCAGTGATTTACCTATATGTATTTCTGCCTATTTTTCTACTGGTCTGTCTGTCCTATAAGTTTGTAGGTACTCTTTATATGTTTTAGGTATTCTTTGTCATGTGTGTAGCAAATTTTTTCTTAATCTAGCATTTTTGTCTTTATACTTTTTTGTATAGCAAAGTGTTACTACATATTTTTACACTAAAATATATCTTCTCGTTTTTTTAATTTTTGATTTTCTATTTAATCAAAAGGATGTCTTTAATCCCTAGATTATAAGTCTTCAGTTTTATTTCTAAGATTTCAATAATTTTTTGCATTGAAGTCTTTAATTATATAGATTGGATGACCTTTCATAGTAGAGCATTTGATAGGTCAGTAACCTATTAAAATATTAGGAACCTAAATGGTATTCAGGAAATTCATAAAAATTCAACAAGTGAGCTATCACTGACACTTCAGGGGTTTGACAAAAATTAATCATTTGGCAAAAGTATATGGGAAACCATATGCTCTTATAAAGTATAAGTTTCATCAACTTAAATTTTTAACCAGTAATACAAAAATAGATTATTTTTAATAACATTTAAAGTGAAAATGATTTGGGCCTCCCTGATGGGTTAAAGTCTCAGCACTATCAAGCTATCTGCAGGGAGCTGACCCACACAGTGCCTCAGACCTTTCCTGTCTTGCCTGCTGCTCCCCTCTGCAGTGTATCTCAGTAGATCTGCCTGTTCATTTCCCCACTCTGTCTCTGGTGAATCCACTCACACACACACACCCCGTACCTCTGGCCTGTCCCCCAGCTCTTGTATGCATAAATAAATAAATCTCTTTTTTTTTAATGTAAATCCTTTAAAAATAAATAAAATGCTTTGACCCAGCAGTTTCACTTTTGGGAATCTGCTCCACAGAAATAACAGTGTCGGTGTATAAAAATCCACATAAATAATGAAGTGTTATTATAGAGACAAAGAACAAACCCAACTGTAAACATAGTAAGGCCCATTAATAAAACAATAATTGAACAATTGTAATAGAGCTGTACTAAGAAACAACATGACAATAATTTTTTAAAATGAATTTTGTCTACATTCATTGGCTTTGAGTTTTTTTTATAATATAATAGTTTATTTTTGCATCATTTTGTACATTTTTTTTTTCATCTCAATTGTAATCCCTGTGGGTTTCCCATCACCAAGTCACCTGTGTGCTATCACCATAGTTCTGATTTTTTGATTAGTTATTACAATGATGTATATTTACAAGATTTCTTTTTTGTTAATAATCACACCCACTTGTGTGAATGTGTGTGTGTGATTGTGATTAGGTAAGCATAGAAATAAGTATGGAAGAATATATATTAGACTTAATATTGGCTAAGTTGAAGGGAGAAAAGAAGTAAGATGGGGGAGGTGTAGAGAGTGGGAGGAAAGAAAAATGTATGCAAGGGGTTAAGTCTCAGCAGAAGCTATCTGCAGCTACTGTAGCCTGAATTCAATCCCTAGTCAGGGAGCTAACCCACATAGCACAGCAGACCTCTTCTGTCTTGCCCACTGCTCCCCTCAGCAGTATATTTCAGTAGATCTCCGTGTTCTGGTTCCTGCTCTGTCTCTGGTAACTCCTCTCACCCCCTGACTTCCACACCTCTGGCCTATACCCAGTTCATGTATGCATAAATAATCTCTTTTTTAAAGATTTTTATTTACTTATGCATACACGAACTGGGGTACAGGCCAGAGGAGGGTGGTGGTGGTGGTGAGACGAGTCACCAGAGACAGAGCAAGAAGCAGAACAGGCAGATTGAAATAAACTGCTAAGGGGCGAAGCAGTTAGGTCAGGAGAGGTCTGCTGTGCTATGTGGGTCACCTCCCAAGCTGGGAATCAAACTTGTGCTGCTGCAGATAGCTTCATGGTGCTGCACTTTAACCTGCTGTGCCCCAGAGATGGCTGCTAAATAAAATAAATCTTAAAAAGAAAACTGTAGGTTCAGCATGTATGGTATGAAGCTCTATATGTAAGGCTGTGTTTTTGTGAACTTAGGACAGCCATGAGTGAAGGGATGGTGTACAGGAAGCTAATAATGGTTGTTTCAGGGTTAGCAGAATAGCTGGTGTTTTTTCTTTTTTTTACTTTAGCTGCTTTTCTGTATTTTAATTTTGTCTTTCCAATGAGCATGTAATATCTTTATAAACAAGAAAAAAATATTTCGTGCAAAGCTAATTTTATTGACCACTTGTTATATACCAGCAATTGACTTAGGTGCTGGATATACATTGATGGGACAGATGTAGTCAGAGATCTGAGAGCAGGGAAATTGGTTCTGATGATCCCTCAGTTCAAAAGAAGTTACCCAGTACCTCACACCACCCCTCTGCCCTCTGAGTTTCATATCATGAAGGTGATAAAAAAATTCAAGTCATTAAAAAGCACCCAAGAATATATGGGAATTTGTGTCTAGGATATCAACCAGAAACCTAACACTCAGAATTTCCACGTACAGCATGACATCAAAAGATAGGTTACAGTGGTGAAAAGGTCTGTACAAAGTTTCAAAGAACACTGGATGATGGTGTATAGAAAGGAGAAACAAGCAAGGACTTCTGAGTGAAGAAATGAAAGCTTGGAATTTCTGAGAATGCTGAGAATCCTGGAGTCAGCTTGGGAACCCAAGTACTTAAAGATGCTAACAGAACATGGATGAAACTGATACCTAAAAAAAAAAACAAAACAGGAAAAGGCATCAAGAGCTCTGCTTCGTTGGAGGGTAAGAGAACATCAAATATCCCTCCCATAATTCTAGAGTAAATATCTGATATTAAGAAGATGCTAGATAAACAATATAAATTATCTCCCATTACAAATGACTGTTGTGGTTTAAATAACTACCTCTCAGTAAATTTTATTTTTTCTTTTTAAAGGTTTATTTATTTATGCATACACGAGCTGGGGTCCAGGCCAGAGGTATGGGAAAATGAGATGATTTACCAGAGACAGCGGAGAACAGAACAGGTGGATTGACAGAAATACACTGCTGAGGGGAGCAGTGGGCGAGATGAGAGGCCTGCTGCGCCATGTGGGTCAGCTCCCTAGCCGAGGATTGAACTTGTGCTGCAGTGGCTACAGAGAGCTTCAAAGTGCTGAGACTTATCACCTTGTGCTACCAGGGAGGCCCCTGGATTATAGTTGTAAACCAAGGTTTTTCAATCTTGACACTATTAACAACCTAGTGAAATTGAGGCTAAGGTGTTAAATTGATTTCAGATCTTAAAGTAAGAGAAAGAGAAAAAAGTATCCAGTTTTCTTTTCTGAAATGTGCTTTTCAGGCATCACAAAGACTAGAAGGTTACGGGTAACCTTGAGCTAAACTCCAAGGCAGACTGGAAACTGTGATCCCAGAGGAGGATCTCAATGTACATTCAAAGCTCCGGTTATCTGAAGAAAAGCTTCTTCATACTTCATGTATGAAATGCCCTGTGACTAACCAGTTGAGTCAAGTCCACATTTCTTTGCCCCCTCCTGTATTTTCAGGCAATAAAATTTAACTCCTTTGTCCTGAGCCCTGGTCCCCAAAATCTATAAAACCTGATTCCCTTATCTACGCAGGTAGGTAGATTTGACTTTATCACTTGTCTCCTTGACAATTTGTTCATGAATACCTAATTTCTTTTCTCATATGCCTAATGTCATTGTGTGGTCTGTATAAGCTAGGCCATTGCTCAGTAGTGACACTTGATAGAGCCAGGAGTCTGAAGCAATGGAGCCTATAGGGAATTTTAGATATGTCTAACAGAGAAACGAAGGTTTGGGGTATCAGGAAGTGCCCCAGCTGTACAGCTTTAGTTTTGCATGTCTAGTGTTTACTACAAGCTACTCTGGAAATAGAAACTCTTTGGATCCATAGAACTAGCCACCCAATTTCACAATTGAGCAAATAAAGCCACTGGTGATTCTGGGCTGAATGCTGCTTTCTTGGCATCCATAAGGCTCTGAGGGCCTCCCTGCCCTTCAGGTCTGTTACACAACCCTGGGGCTGGGGGTGCTTCGCTGTCCTTTCTAGCAGGTTAAAAGAGAGATTTGGAGCCCTTGGAGTCATCTTCATAGGTTTTAATAGTGAGCAGGGGAAACCAGACAGTAGGGGGACAGCAACTTGAGCCCTCTCCCCAGGGTGGCACTGCCTTTTTACCCCTCCTTCACAGGCACAGGTGTGCACACTTGCACATGCGCAGACGCTCATGCTCCAGGTGTCCACAATGAGGCGTAGGTGCCCCACACCCACGTGCCTTCTGCATTAACACAATCAAGGCCACGGTGATAGCCACAGAGACTAGTGTCATACAAAAGCTTGATCAATTCCATTTACCTTGCAAGGTCTCAGCCTATATCCATGCTCTCCCAGGTGCCCCTCTGGACATGGATCCATAAGGTCAGATACTGGTTTCTTCAGGTAGCAGAAACAAGAAATTAAGGCAGGTGGTGTGTGTGATTTGTGCCATTCTCGGGTTGCTGACAGTCTATACTGCAGCTGTACATGTGTTTTGTTTACCAGTAAAAACCATCAGTACGCTTAGAAATCACTCAGCACACCTGGGCGACAGTGAGGTAGAGAGAGCATGGGCCTGGGTCCTGCGCTATTGGGCAGACAACCAGGTAAAGGGGTGAGAAATAAGTTAAGAAGAATAGGAGAGAAGTTAAATCAAAAGATCTTGAAAACTCGGGTGGCAGAGCACACAGCACTGAATGGGACTGAGGTGAGAGGCTGGA